TTCAGCCAAAACAAGGCCAGGAGCTGATTGTGAAACAGACCATCAACTGCTCATATGCAAGTTCAAGTTGAAACTGAAGACAATTAAAACAACTCTACAAGAGCCAAAATATGACCTTGCTTTTATCCCTCCTGAGTTTAGAGACCATCTAAAGAATAGATTGGATGCATTGGACACCAGTGACCAAAAACTAGAAGAATTGCGGGATGATGTCAAGAACATCATCCATGAAGAAAGCAAAAGGTCATTAAGAAGACAGGAAAGGAAGAGAAAAACAGTGGATGTCAGAGGAGACTCTGAAGCTTGCCCTTGAATGGAGATTAGCTAAAGCAAATGGAAGAATCGACAGGATAAAAGAACTGAACAGAAGATTTCAAGGAGCAGCTTGAGAAGGCAAAATCAATTATTATAAAGGAGTGTGCCAAGAGTTGGAGTTAGAAAACCAAAAGCTGAAAGAACTGAGGAAAAATTTAAGCCTCAAATTGCAATATTGAGATTCCATGGACAATATATGTTGAATGATGCAGGAAGCATCAAAAGAAGATGGATGGAAAACAGTCACTACACCAAAAAGAATTGATAGATGATCATCCATTTCAGGAGGTGGCATATGATCAAGAACCAATGGTATTGAAGGAAGAAATCAAAGCTACACTGAGGGGATTGGCGAGAAACAAGGCTCTGGGAATACCCATTGAGATGTTTTAACAAACGGATGCCCCACTGGAGGCACTCACTTGGCTGTGCCAAGAGATTTGGAAGACAGCTACCTGGCCAACTGACTGGAAGAGATCCATATTTGTACCCATTCCAAAGAAAGGTGATCCCACAGAATGTGGAAATTATTGAACAATATCACTGATATTGCACGCAAGTAAAATCGTACTGAAGATAATTCAAAAACAGTTGCAGCAGTATATTGACAGAGAACTTCCAGAAATGCAAGCTGGATTCAGAAGGTGACATGGAGCGAGGAATATGACTGCTGATGTCAGATGAATCTTGGCTGAAAGCAAAGAATTCCAGAAAGATGTTTACTTGTGTTTTATTGACTATGCAAAGGTATTTGATTGTGTGAATCATAACAAATTATGAATAACATTGAGAAGAATAGGAATTCCAGAACACTTAATTGTACTCATGAGGAACCTGTACACAGACCAGGAGGCTGTTGTTCGAACATAACAAGGGGATACTGCATGGTTTAAAATCAGGAAGGGAGTGTGTCAGGGTTGTATCCTTTCACCATACTTGTTCAACTTGTATGCTGAGTAAATAATCTGAGAAGCTGGACTATATGGAGAAGAACATGGCATCAGGATCGGAGGAAGGCTTATTAACAACCTGTGATATGCAGACGACACAATTCTGCATGGTGAAAGTGAGGATGACTTAGAGCACTTACTGATGATTAAAGACTACAGTCTACAGTCTGGATTATACCTCAATATAAAGAAAACAAAAATCCTTGCAACTGGACCAATAAGCAGCATCACAATAAATGGAGAAAAGATTGAAGTTGTCAAAGACTTCATACTACTTGGTTCCACAATTGATGCCAATGGAAGCAGCAGTCAAGACATCAAAAGATACATTGCATTGGGCAAATTTGCTGCAAAAGACTTCTTTCAAGCACTGAAGAGCAAAGATATCTCCTCGAAGACTAGGATGTGCCTAATCCATGCCATGGTATTTTCAATGCCTGATATGCATATGAGAGCTGGACAGTATAAGGAAGATCGAAGAAGAGTTGATGCCTTTGAGTTGTGGTATTGGCAAAGAATGCTGAAAGTACTGTGGACTGCTAAAAGGACTAACAAATCTGTCCTGGAAGGAGTGCGGCCGTAATGTTCCTTGGAAGTGAGGATGGCCAGACTTCGTCTCACCTACTTTGGTGATGTTGTCAGAAGGGACCATTCTCTGGAGAAGGATGTCATGCGTGGTAAAGTGGAGGGTCAATGAAAGAGGGGAAGGCCCTAAACAAGATGGACTGACGCTGTGGCTGCAGCGATGGGTTCAGGTGTGGTAGGGATAGTAAGGATGGCACAGGACCGGGCGGTGTTTTGTTCTGTTGTGCATAAGGTCGCTGTGAGTCGGAGATGACTTGATGCCACATAACAACAACAACAACAGATTTATCAATTTTCTTCTGAAATTTACATTTTTCTTCCTAAGTTTAAAATAGCCTGTTATGGCTTGATGTTGCCTTGACTTACTCTCCAAATGGAAATTCCATAATTACATTATTTATTCTGTCTTTTTGTTTAGAAGTTGTCATTGTTTACAGTTTGGCACCTCTGTTCCTTGTCTTCATGTTTGCAGCATAATTTTACATTTGAGAATTCTTTGTCTGAGATGGTATCTGAGTGATACTGTTTTATGTCTTAATCTTGGGTTATTGTCTGAATTTGTTCATTCTCTGTATAAAGGACTCCCTTTAATATTTATTGTAAGGCTAGTCTGATTTTTACAAATTCCCTTAATACTATTTATCTGGGAATGCACTATATCTACCATGGTGTTTGAAAGCAGTTTGCAGAATACATGATTCTTGGTTGACAGTTCTTTTCTTTCAGAGTTTTACATATGTTGTCCCACTGCCTTCTTGCCTGTGTGATTTCTGTTGAGAAATCAGCACTTATTGGTGCACCTTGGTAGGTAATATTTTGTTTTTTACAAGCTGCCTTTGCAAGCTGTTTCTTTGTTTTTGCTTTTGGAAAGTTTGAGTATGATATGTCTTGGTGCCTTTCTTTTGGGGTCTATCCTGTATGGCGTTTATTGGGCTTCTTGGGTGGAAATCTTCTCTTTGTTTCATGATATTAGGGAAATTTTCTGTCAATAAATCTTTAGAAATTTCTCTGCTTCTTAGTCTCGTCTCCTCTTTTGGAATTCCAATTACATGTAAATTATTCCTGTTGATAGTGTCCCACATAACTCCTAGGATTTCTTTCTTCTTCTTTTTTCTAATTGTTCCTCAAAGATTACTGTCAAGGGATTTGCCCTCTATTTCACTGATTCTTTCTTCTATTGCTTCAGTTCTACTTCTCTGTCTTTCCATGTAGGTCTGATATTTTATTGTTGATCTTCTGGATTTCTAGTTGTTGTTTTTGTATAGTTTCTAATTGTCTGTTTATTTTGTCATTTAGTTCTTGTATTGTTTTACTGAATTATTCCATTGGTTTTGTTTGTGCTTTCCTTGATTTTTTTTGAGTATCCTATATATAAGTCTTTTAAATTCTATTACCATTTCTCCCACAGGAATATTTTATGCCTCTTATTTTGCTTACTTGTTTGAGCCGTCTTATCCTTTTTGTTCCTATGAGTTGTTATTGTCTGTCTCTGAAGCATTAAGGTGTTTATTTTAATTTATATATTTCTTTATTGATTGTCCTTTGGTGGTATCTGGATGCTGGATGTGATATATGCTCACTAGTGGATATAGTGGGTCACATTCATGTGCAAATTCACTGTGATTAGCTTCATGTGCCTTGCCTTACTGGATTGAGTGTAGGTGGAAGAGTAGGTTCTTTCACTGATAGTAGGTGAGAAGTATTGGGTGGTCAGGGTCCCTCCACAGCCCTTGTTGAACTGTGGGATCCTTTAAAGTTGGTGATAGCAGTTAGTGCATATGCTGGAGAGAAGGGCAGGTTGTCTTTGTATACACAGAGTGGCAGTGCTATCCAAATGGATGGCATAGGACCTTTGTGCAGGCATAAATTGGTGTCTCGGTGGTAGGAGATCAAGGAGTGTCAGTGTGTGGAATCAGCCTTTGGGAAGTGGCTGGATATAGGATGGGTGTCACTGCAATTGAGCAGTCTTTTGGTGTTGCATAGGGAGTTTCTGCTTGTCACGGGGTGGGAGCGTTGCTGGAGCCTGTCAGAATGCCCCTGGTGGTCACTGGTAATGGGCTGTGCCTGCTGAGCCATGACAGGAGGTTATTGGAAGAGTGCACAGGGATGCATCTGCTAGTCGCCGTGGTAGGGTGTGGGGCAGACTTGTTGGTTGCTTTGCAGTGGCACAGGGTACATTTCCAGTTACTGTGCAGTTGTGATGGAATTGCTCCAGTTGCTGGGCAGAGGGTGTGCGGGTGCTCCCACTACTTGCAGGACTGTCGGCAAGGGGGCACTCTTACTGGTTGCCAGGCTGCAGGCATGTTCCCACTGGTCTCTGGGCAGCATATGAGGGGCTGTGGGAACAGGTTGCTAGGCTGCAGGCACACTCCTCCTTGTCTCTGGGCTGCAGGTATGATGTGCTCCCACTGGTTGGTAGGCAGTGGGTGAAAGAGTGCTCCTACTGGTTGCTGAGCTGTGCTGAAGGGGTGCTCCTGCTGGTCACTGGGCAGCAGTGGGGCAACAGAGGAGAGTGTAGGGTCACTTCTGCTCATCACTAGGTGTGGGTACAGGGGATACTGCTGCTTGGCCACCCCAAAGTATTAGAACTTGTCCCATTTAAATGAAGAAGGAAGAAAGGAAATATGTTGATTACTAGAGAGATGATTTATAAATAATTAGAAGATGAGCATCAAGAGCCAGTATAAATTCACTAAGTCATAACAAATAACTTTTTTTTTTAAAAAAAACGATGTTACTGGAAAGAGATCTGAGGAATGCCACAGACAAATTTATCAACCTGGTTTTTCTCTTAGGAGTTTCTGTGGACAAGAAGAAAAAGTGTGTGTAAGGTGTTGATGCAGTGAGCTCTATCCACTACTCATTAAGCAACTGATGAAAAGTGGAAATAGATATAAACCTAGAGGAAGGTCACTGGAAAATTATGAACTGTGTGTTCTCGGTCCTTCTTTAATCAAAGCACTGTCAGTTCTTAGACATGAATAAAGGTCATGTTTATCAAACCTGCAGATGATATCAAACCGAAACCAAACCCACTACTGTCGAGTCAATTCTGACTCATAGTGACCTGATAGGACAGAATAGAACTGTTCCATAGGGTTTCCAAGGCTGTAAATTTTTATGGAAGTAGACTGCCTCATCTTTCTCTCGCAGAAGCAGCTGGTAGGTTTGAACCATCAACATTTTGGTTAGCAAGTGAATGCTTTAATCACAGTCTGCAGAGGAGGTACTGTTTCTGTTTTAATTATGCAAGCCATAATTTTAATTCCAGGTCTGCAAATAGCATGGAGTCTTTTAGAGAACTTCACACATGTTTTTCTGTTATGACATAGTTTATCTGGAAAGGGGGGTGGGAAAGGCAAAAGGTATTTCTAAAAAGGAAACAGTAATACTATTCTTGGTGGCATTCTGTTTCATAATGAGATCACAAAATCAAAGGGGTGTTTTTTAGGGGTTTCTATATGTTGTGCTCATAGTGATTAAGAAAAAAAAAAACAGCTGCTATCAAGTAGATCCCGTGTGCTTCAGAACAGAACTGTGCTCCATTAGATTTTCATGGCTGTGAGCTTTTGGAAGTAGATCACCAAGCCTTTCTTCTGAAACACTTCTGGGGTGGGCTCGAACCAACAACCTCTCTGGTGGTAGCTGAGCACTTAAACTTTTGTACCAACTGGGGACTCCCTCATAAAAATAGTGGTGTAAGAATCTGGAGAAGTACTAATGAACAGCTATGGTGCAGAAGGATTTAAACCTAAATGTTTTTACTTGGGAAGGCAATTAATAAAGCATCCAGCTGTATCTGAGTGAATTTGCAAGTACCCTGGGACCAAGGAATATGGAAAAAGATCCTACCATAGTGACAGTAATCTAGCCTAAACCTGTGTCATAAAATTTCCCCTGCCTCCAGATGTTCAGTAATAGGGCACTTGGTTACTCTGCTGATGTAGCGCAAAATTGCAGACCTGCCAGGGTAACGGAGAGAGTAGTGCCAGAGGTGAGGAGAGAGGTCTGTTTCTCTGTATGAAACATTTTTTTATAGGTAATTCTGATGTACTCAAACTCCAAACTCACTGCCATGGAGTAGGATCCGACTCATAGTGACCCCTCCTTGGGTTTCTGAGGAGATACCACTGCGGAAGTAGATCGCCCAACCTTCCTTCCAAGAAGTGATGGGTGGGTTTAAACACTAGGTATTAAATAGAGTAACTAAAGGATGCTTTATTTTAGATTACTGCTGGAGTGATATTTTTCCCCAGGCACTAATAACCCAGCAGCTTCACAAGCCCATTTCTCCTCCCAGTTCCTCGTGGCCTCCCAGCTCTCTGTGTCTTCTGGCAGAAGGGTGAGCCACTGCAATCAAGATTTCTGCCTTAAAGTGGGGAGAATCACGTTTACTAACTGTGCTTGTGTTGCTCAGGAGAGAAGGCTAGAATACATGTTTGGAAGGGAGGAAGATACTGAGCAAGCTCTGCCTTTGCAATTTAGAGATGTTGTTAGTTGCCACTGAGTCAGCTCTAGCTCATGGTGGCCTATGTACAACAGAATGAAAGGTTACCTGGTCCTGCACCATCTTCAAGATTGTTGGCATGTTTGAGTCCATTGTTGTGGCTTCCCACCCTAGGGAGCTCATCGTTCAGCACTATATCAGACCATATTCTGTTGTGACCCGTAGGATTTTCTTTGGCTAATTTTTGGAAGTAGATTGCCAGGCCTTTCTTCCTAGTCAGGTGACTCTGCTGGTATTTCAAATACTGGTGGCATAGCTTTCGGCATCATAGCAACATGCAAGCCACCACAGTATGACAAACTTACAGATGGTGGAATTTAGAGATAGGGATGTATATATAAGGAGACCTCTGGATAACAAAAGTGTCATTTCAAGAATGGCCTTTTTGTAATTGAGTGATCATTTAAAGTGGCCCATGATATGTGTACATAAAATTGAAATCCAGGGAACAACCAGTTCAGCCTAGCATCTTGGTCATCTACCTCACAAAAGATGCACAACCCTTGGTTAATTGTCTACTTCTAACAAACTTAAGGCTGTCAAAGGGACAGCAATTAGAGGCCTATTGTCAGAACCATATGGTTTCCATCACAGTGGGAAAAAAAAAAATAAGGTCTTTGTGGGCTTGGAGCATTGTTAGGTTTGAGCCTGCCCAAATTATTTTATTCATGTTAAAATTTCAGTAGATGGGAAACATACTGAATCAGAGGCAGACTTTATTTTTACACCTGCCCCTCCCCCATCATAATATTTAAATACCTTCCCCTCTCCTACTCCCTCTTAGCTGGAGGGCCAGTCCTCTTTACTGCTCCCAAACCACTCCACTGCTTGATTTGATTTGCTTTTTTGCAATTTGTTGTTGTTATTGTTGTTAAGTGCTGTTGAGTCATGTCCAACTCATAGCAACGCTATGCACAGCAGAACGAAACACCATTGGTCCCGTGCCAGCTCCCGATCCTTGCTACACTTGAGCCCAGCGCCGCAGCCACTGCCTCAATCCATCTTGTTGAGGGCCTTCCCCTCTTTGGTTCACCCTCCACCTTACCAAGCATGACATCCTTTTCCAGGGAATGGTCCCTTCTGATAACATGACCAAAGTAGGTGAGATGAGGTCTGACTATTCTCGCTTTCAAGGAGCATTCCGGCTGCACTTCCTCCGGGGCAGATTTGTTAGTTCTTTTAGCAGTCCATGACAGTTTCAGCATTTCTCGCCAGCACCACATCTCAAAAGCATCAGTTCTTCTTTGGTTTTCCTTATTCACTGTCTAGCTCTCACATGCATGTGAGGTGATTGAAAATATCCTGGCTTGTGTCAGGCACACCTAAGTCCTCAAGGAGACATCTTTGCTCCTCAGCATTTGAAAGAGGTCCTTTGCAGCTGACTTGCCCAGTGCTATTCGTTGTCTTATGTCCTGACTGCTGCTTCCTTTGGCGTCGATTGTAGAACCAAGCAATGTGAAGTCCAGTTTGTTAAGATGCTGAAATCTGCTTTGTGTGATTTATGAAGAAACTTGAATCGATTAGTTTCACAGTACATGAACATTCCTCAGGTTCAGAGGGGATGGCCAATCTGTTACACTGCTTGCTGTGGACTGGATGGGAACGTGAGCAGCAGAGCCATGAGATTGTGTTGAGTACTTGTGGTAAAGCTGCTTATTGTTAATTCCCTGATGTCCTGCCAAAGTGATAGGATAAGATCAGGTCAGATTAGATCAAAGAGCCTGGGATCCAGCCTTTGGAGCAGATTCATTTAATCAATAAAGAGACCTCCTGAGACAGGGGGAGAGAATGGGGCAGTACTGGTAGCACAGGAGATTGAAATGGGGGTGGGAAGGTTATGGGAAACCAACAGTTTATGTGTGTAATCACATCTTGGAGGTGTGATTCCCAAAATATTTTAGCTGTGCTCACTGGAGTGTATAAATATTTCTTTAAGATTTCATTACTCCAATATTCCTTTATTCCAATAATACTCTATAAGCCAGGTGGTGATTTAAAAACAAACAAACCTATTCCATAAAAGACATTTCAAAAAAGCAATTTAAGGTTCAGTGATTACTTGGGAAACACTGCTCCCTTGAGTTAATCTGCAAAATTTCCTATTGTCCCTGTGTGAGGAGAAATAATAGAGGAGCATCAAAAGGCCAAAGTCTAGCTCCAGCCTCCTCTTTGTATGTTTTCCCCCTGCCCACCTCCCAACCCCCGACAATAATTATAGAGTATTATGTATTAAGAGGCAGGACTTGGCTCCCTTCATCCATGATTAACACTTAAACCAATGCATATTCATTCATCTCTTAGCCCAACCAAACTCCCGCTAAAATAAGGACTTGCCGATAAGGAAATGACACCCATTAGAAAGTTAGCCATGGAAAATGAGAGAAAAAATGAAGGATGGAGCAAATTAAGGATGTGAGTCCCTCAATGGTTATTGGCTTTAATGGTGTTATAAAAATGATGTTGGCTTTTACCAGGAATAATTTATATTCCAAATTAAAGATCTGTATCTGTAAATCCATTCTATAAAACTTAATTTTCCATCTAGATATGCTGATTACTTCAGGCTGGCATACCTTTACCAATTGTTAATTACTGCGGGATGGTTTAACACTATTTTCTGAATCAGCATGCATGCATAAAATGACTGCACTGCAATTTGACACATTATTAGTGGTGATTATTGTCCTAGATAAATTAGATTGAACAGAAAATAACCTTCATCCTTAGCATGTTTTAGCTCTCAGAATTAATGTGATTTGGTGAACACATATAAATAAAAATCTGATGAGTCCCTGCTGACGCCAGGGCCTGCTGGTGTTGAAGTGTATCAATTTCATGCAGATGATGAATTCCTTAAGCATTCAAAGATAATCATGCTTGATTGGACAAGACTTTCTCATGCTATTTTAGAGCCTTAATTTTCTGTGAAGTTCTGTCAAGTGCTCATCAGTTACCCACTTATCTCCGTATCTTAACCTGGCAGCCAATCACAAGGTTGCCTAATAGAAAAGCTACCGAGCACCAGCCCATTAATATTCATGTCACGTGACTGTCCAAGGAGATAAACCAATCAATGGCTGATTAACATTCAGGTCATTGACTCCCAAAGAGAGTAAATGAGTTACAAGGTAAGACATCAAACAAATTTTCATCTTGAAAGAGTGATTGCTTTTTCTGCTGCTTTTGTCATATTCACTGTTCATGTTGCTATTGAGTGGGTTCTGATTCATGGCAACCCTGTGTGTAACAAAAGAAAACACTGCTTGGTCCTGTGCTATCCTCCTAGTCATTGCTATATTTAAGACCATTGCTG